AGCTTTAACGAAGCGAGACGTGTGCTTTCTCGCGCGACGCGACATTCCAAGCCAGCTGGTTAAATCTTCCGCGCCCTTTGGTCCCTTGGACGATTTCCTGGTCTGGATAGCTACAGAACACGTGCAACCACCATCACCACCATCAACGTGGTAAAACTTCGTTCTATACGAAGTCAGCTACGTGTCCTTCGATTCCCTCTTAAATACGTGACGCCAGGATAACGACTCCTGTGCCTCCCCTGGTGACTTTAGCAACCGTGCCGGGACGCGCGTGTACACATGGGATTAAGATTCGATCAGTGATTACAGTTCGAAGAAAAAGTACGACGTTCCAGGGGATCGACCTATTAAACGTTATCTGCCGAAGATACGGCCAACCAGAGATACGAGAATCGGATTCGAAACTTCAGATAACCCGTCGGAATTACTAATGAGCTGGCTATCAGCTCGAATCGTATTCGAATATCATTTGAAATTGAACTTTTTTTCCCCTTTTCAGAAGTTTCGAAAGTCTGGAGCGAGGTTTTAATTATACTAGTGGTTGGACAAAGAAGATTTATATTATAAAATTTATCTAAATACAATGATCACTCTTTTTTCAAAACTTTGTTCGCAAAGAAAACCAGTAGTGTACGCAGTTCATCCCATTCATTCTACCCCCGTAACCTACCCAAAATAATGAAATCTACAAAAACCATCCACTCCAACAATTAAACATTCCACCCACGCAACGAACACTAAAATTCACCCAAACACAAGGGCGCTATCACCAACACTCGAAAATTCCTCCACAAGAGACCAACTCGTGCTATAAGGGTAGGAACAAAAAAAAAAAAGAAAAAAAAAGGTAGAAAAAGAAGAAAACGAAGGATCGTTCTCTCACCTCTGCGAGACCGCTATCTACCTGAAAAGGGTGGTCTGTGGAGGTGGGACGATTGTCCCGAGCAGGAAAACGGTTGAAAGTTCCGGCTGTTCGGTCGGCAGCAGTTTAAGTTTCCACAGGGCCGAAGTTATAACGAGAATTGCCCTGGCCGCAAAGTTTCCTCGCGTGTACATACTACCCCCCGGTCCTCATTTTTCTTCGCCATCCCCGTGTTACCGCGTGCGTGCACCCTCTAACCAAACCGCCCTTTTCTTTCTCGTTTCGTGTTACGCGCATGCTCCACGAAAATTCGCCATGTAAACCGTGCACACCGCAGACGTTTCTTTTTTTTTTCTTCTTCTTCTTCTTCCACCCCCATCTCCGTGCACTTCCATACACGTTGCAACGGTAGCTACGACACGGTGCTCTTTTTCTTAGCCGCTCGCAGGCATTCGTGCGGCGAGAATAAAACGCTGGCATATTTCAGACTTATTGCTCCGCGCGACGACCACTATTCCGCGGTGCCTTTATTGCTACTAGTTTCATTCTTCTCCGGTTTACGGTGTTACCGCTGGTAAGGCTGGCACCTACACGCGTTTCGACACTCCACCGCGACGAGCGCGTTTACACGCAGATTCACGACCTCCTCCAAGAGATGGTTCAGATAGTCTCGGGGGTTCTTACTTTGGACAGTGAACGGAGGTTGTGGATAGGGATGATTATTTAAAATTCCTTATTGGAAATTTTTGAAGAGTTCATTTATTGGAGAATTTTGCAAGAGTTGAAAATTTTCAGAAAACAAAATTAATCTAGCTTTAATTAGATTTTTAAGAACCTTGTTTTTGAAGTTGTCAATTTTTCAAAAAATTAAAATTTAGATTCTTCAAAAGTATATTTTCTATGAAACAACCATTATACCGTGGATAATAACATTAAATCACGTATTATTTATCGGAGTTCTGTAACGTTCGAACGTAATAATCAGAGCAGAATACCAATGAATTATTTTCCAACGCGTAATAAATGTTTAAAGTAATACGCGACTAATGAATTCACGTAATTGTAGGCCGAGCTCTGATTGAAATATATTTGAGTATTTACCTCGCTACTGAAACGTTAATGAAATTAATTTCAGAGAAGTAATTCGCGTACCACGTTGCAACCGCAACGCCAACATATTTACGTTGTTTTCATCATTCTTCCGGAGGGTTTGCATAAACGTGCATGATTATTCCGGATGAACAGTCGCCATTGATTTCCGGATACGTGCGCGAATTTGAAGTTTCGAAACCGTAAACTGCGGAAATTATACCATGTTTTCTCGTTTGATAACCGTGAAATTAATTACTCAGTGTGAAACTTTTTAATAAACTATATTGTTGTATTAATTAACAGAATAATAGATTTTTTCTTCCCCTTCTTTAACTTTGTTTCTACTTTTTTTATTTCAGGCGGCTGACTATACTTCTGCGGCGTCTACTGCCAATGTCTGACTAATGTCGATTCGTACTACTTACACTGGTTTCTTACTTTAAGAATGGACTATTATATCGCGTAAAAGGAATCCTTCTTTTTACTACTGTATATTAAATATTGTATTGAGAATCTAATCATAATCTAATACCAAATCAAACCCTTTCGTATTTCTACAAAATATCATTGAATAATAGCAAATAGTTTGCTCGTATCCCTCGTTTCGAGCAATTTGCAACAGGCTGTAACCACCGCGAACTTCGCTGACGCAACACAGACATAGAGACAGATGGAAGAGGCAAGGTGAAATCCAACAGAAACGGAGGGTTGCTCGCAAACACGCCAGATTACCGGTATAAAATGCTAAACCCGCGGCTGCACGATTCCCCAGCGAGCGGATTACCGCGGAAGTTTTGACGCGATGCGAAGCACAAAAGAATCAAAGCGGCAGAATAGAGGGGCAAGAGGAGGCCTGAAAAGCGGCTTGGATCGGGGCCGCGTTTGAAGTAGCATTTCCTTGGCACAAACGACCCTCTTAATCAATTGCTAGCGCCTTTATCGCGGCTCTCGAGCGCCATCCACACCTTTCCGCTCGTCCCGCCTCGCACCGAAAGTGTAAAGCGGCAGGCTAACAAGCAGCAACTTCGATAAATCTTGCTCCTTCTCGAGCTCCTTTTTTTTTTTCGATAACAATGGTAACGCGGAACATTAACACTGATTCAATGAAAGGAACTAACATTATGAACACACAATGAGATTAAGAAATTTTAAAACTATTCTCTTTAAATAATTATGATAATATATTTTTACTTCTTAAACATCAGAGTATCAGATGCCTCAGAATGGCGTCAAACCTTACCCTAGGACACTGCAAATATTACTCTATTAAGTACAAGTATTCGAAGGAAAACGCTTAGAGTGCGAGATAACAGAGGTCACGAAAGCGAAAAGCTTTCAGAAGCTCGGCCATGGGCGAGCAGGGTGTGCAGCAGGGAAACTTATGAAAATCCGGGATTTATCGCGGCATGTGCGAGAGCCAGCCGCCTCCACGGCTCTGACAAATCGTCCGGAAGTGAACGTTCGATCGTTCCTGAATCCTCTTTTCGTCGGAGCTACGGAGCAGGACCCTCTGTCCCGTGGACCAGCTGCCTTTGAAAGCTCTGATAAAAGTTTTAATCCGTTTCGTCCCGCTTACCCGCCCTCCCGTTCTCCGTCGTGGCTTCACCATTGAGCGGCTTCCATCCCCCCCCTTTGTCCGTTGTTTTCGCGAAAAATGGAAAATTCGACGTACGTGTAGCTTGTAATGGTTTAATGATGTTTCGACAGACGTAACATGCGGCCGAGTTGAGCTGAAACTCGACCAAAGCTTTTCAACTTATTGTATGGTATCGTACGGGTTCGTCTATTGTGAGTGAAGAACTTAATTGTGTTTCTTTGCTGAATAATTCTACCATTTTAGGTAACGAATAAAAGAATCGGGGAGAAAAGATTCGAAAAATTCCGAAACTTCTATGAAACGATAAGATTTTTAATTATTCTAAGTTCTGGATGACTTGGAAATAATTATGAGATGTGATTAATTACAGTCATAATGGAGACCATAATTAATAATGTTCTTATTCTACTATGACTAAAGAAAATCTTCGTTAAGAAGATAGATAATTCTGGCGCCGTCAAGAAAGGACTTTTTACAGAAATTATTAAAGAAATTTTTTTTTTTTTTTTAATATAATTGGCAACTACTTCATTAACTACTCAGTATGTAAATACTGATTCAGATAAGGTTTCATTTAAATCAGTGCATAATATTCAGGGTAGTTGAAGGTTAATAAAAATCTAGATTTATTCAAAAATACTGCCGCAAGTAGCCGAGTCCACAAATTGTAGGAAAATCTAGCCACCAGCGTTGGAGCCGATAAAACGAAATAAATGGCCAGCTTATCAGCGAAAAATACTTTGCGCGAAAGTATTATCGATTATGCGAGCCGGGGATCGGCGTATTTCAGTTAAATAATTCTGCATTAGACCACACACGCGTGCAAATGCGCCGGCTAATCTGGTCGGGGCCACACGCGTGCACTTCGAAAACGAGAAAATTAATTGCCATCCCAAAAATACGAGGGGACGATCCCCATTATAATAAATTCAGGGGTAAGTTTCACAGAGGCTACGACCCTGTCTGAATTTATGCACCATATAAGCCAATTATTTATCGTCGTCCTATGACTCCAACCACTGTAACCCTTTTTCCTTTCCTTTTTTTTTTTAATTTGAATTATGAATTCATGCTCAGTTGTCAACCAGTATTTTAACGGATAGTTTTTTCATATTTCAAAAATAGATCAGAAAAAATATTGAATTTATATCTCTTATTAAAGGATTAATCAATTAATTCTAAGCCAAAGATGTTTCAATTTTCTTTTTCATCTACTTTTAAAATTATTTGACAAAATCAAATTTATAAAAATTGAAAATAATCGACGTATCAAATTATAACTTGTAAAATAGAGCATCATTAAAATTGGAACAATGAACTTTAACCTAGGTAAATATAATAAAAGGATCATAAGTCAGGATAATAGATCAACTTCTAGAAAGTTCAACTTCTTCTTGTATTTTGACCACGGGCCAGAAGCGAAAGAACAGCTTATTAAAGAAGACTTACCTGTGCCAGCCGCCCCCAGCCTGAGAACAGCGTCGCCTTGAAGAGAGATGGAGAGGGTGGCCGTGTCCTCGAGGCGTGCAAGAACTTCTTCGGGAATGTCCTCGGGTTCGCGGAGGCGGAGGGTTACTTCGCCTCCGCCTCCGCCACCCTGACCACCTCCACCCCCGGGACTCGTCGACGCCGAGTACATGAACACAGATCCGTACCCATGTAATGATTGCAACGGCAGCCTGACGCCGCCCACTTCCCCGACCGGACCCTGAAAAACGACCAAATCGTGTTCAGAATAAACCCTTCCATGTATTTCTACTGTTTAATTGGAATATTTTCAGCGATATTAGGTCATAAATAAACCTTTGAAGAAACGAACAAATTTTATATTATTAAAATGGATATTTATGCAAATGAAACAGTTGAATTTTTAAGAGGCAAAATATTAAACAACATACACCTGGATCATAAAACAGAATCGTACGATCGAAACAGCTTGGGGTTCGTTCGTCTCATTAAAAGGCAAGAACGTCCCGTTTCCTTTTCGTCTCAAACGGTAACTCGATTCAGAGTAAGACGGAGATGTATTGGGACCGATCGAACGCGTAATATTAAATTTAAGAGTTCGTTCAGTTTTCCCTGGACCAACGGGTCGTATTCCCGTGAGAGGAACGCGACTTCGTCCATCCGTTTTCCTCGCCGTCGATTTTCACGTCGAGCGTTCTTTTACGAGCAGAAATATTTTGCCAATTTCACCCTCCGTCCATGCAAATTTCGATTCGCGAACGTCAATATTTGCTGAATTGCAGGGAAAAAGGATTCCGATGTACCGCCGCTCGATTCAACGTCAAACGAGAACTGGCCAGACCTTTTGGCTTCTCTTGAAAACCATAATATCCAACGTTAAAATAAAAGAACCTATCGATGAACATCGAACGAGAAAGAAAAATATCTCGATAAACGACGCGATGTTCCTTCTCTGTTTACGTAGTCGCGACCAGAACCAATCTTCTCGATACGTCTAAGAATAATACATCCTTTATGGAAACTATTCGAGGTATTTAAAAGGTGCTTACAAATTCAGCGATGAATCCATTGTTTCAAGAAAATCAACGTGCAAAATTCGCGGGTCTCTTATTATCTGTCCCTATTTTAAAACGTCTTCGTATCAATTTATTACGTACGTAAAATTGTTGGAAAAAAAATCAGCTTCCAGCACTGCTCAACATTATTATCGAACATGTAATCGGACGTTCTACCGTTCAAACAATTTTCCGCGTAGTCAGCACGATAAGACAGCTTTACGAGCGTGTTGACATAGATCCGAAAAGTGCACAAAACATGCCCGCTATCGCGAGACCATTGTAGAACGACGGGTGCATTGCTGACGAGGAGTAGAGCCAGGACGTCTCCTCGTAGGACAAACAACCGGAAACGCGGCCATAACAATACGGATACGCAGCCAGCACGCCTGCCTGTGTGCCGTTTCCGGTGCACCCGAGTATCGATGCAACACACGGACACAACCGTAACGTAGATTTCCTGAGCTGTAACGTAAATACGGGCCAACCTCGTAAAAGACCTTCCCCCCGTTCCGCTGCTTCGAATCGATTTCACGTGTTTGGTGAATTATCGAGGGACTCGAAAAACATCCGTGCGTCAGCCCAGAAACGCAGATTTCATATTTGGATTTCGAAGGATCGTAAGTTCTGCTGGACGCTCCAGGCACGGAAATCCCTCGAGCGTTTTACGCGAAACGGATCCTGATATTGAGAAACGATTGCTTTCAGAGAGCTTCGTGTTTTGTAACTGATATGTGCTCTTTATTGCGAAATAATCCAGGAATATTGGAAACTAAATATTGTTAATTTTCCTGAATTTTCTGTGATATTAGTTTTGAGCAATCAAGCACAACTAAAAATTGTGTTTTATAGGTAGAATAACCTACACTCCTTTCAAGCAGTAGTATAGGTCAGCCATATAGTTACCACATGTCGTACTAAGCTTAGATGTTTTCACTGTAATATTTAAAGTGGACAGCTGTAATGTTGATGCACATATCAAGGTTTAAAACAACCAACAGGACAGAATAACTTTGAAAAATAAAAAAATACCTAATGATAAAATTAATGGTTTAAATAGCTTGATTATATTTCAAGAAATTAGGAGGTGAATCTCCATTAAGAATAAGCCAACAAGTAAGTAGATTCATCCGAGGCCTCCTCGCATTCCAAACAATCATTCTTTTCAAATTCGCTTAGAAAAAAAAGCTCGCTGCTTTCCAAAAAACCACGTTCACAGCATAATCAAACTCGCCTCCCGGCGGAGGCTACCGCTGATAATTTTCCATGCATAATAATACGCGACGCGAAGAATTTGAATAATCCACTTTCACGCTATTTTCCCGTCTGATAAGTCATTAAGCCGCGGGTCGACGAGCGGCCGAGACTTAATGCGGCTCGGAGAGCAATCTGCTTTGTTTCAGCTTCGTTTCATCCAAACGATACACCAGCAAAGAAACGACGAAAGAACCAAACCGAGGTAAGATGAAGTAACCCAAACAAAGAAAAATTTCTCCCTCATTATCACGAATATATTATAATAAAAACAAAAAAATATACTTCAAGCGACACTAGTCATTTTTATAATTATGCCTACATTCGGGTAAAAAATTAAATTCTAATTTGAATTTATTAATTATAGATAAGATAGAGAAAGTTAAAAGTAGGATTTTTAAATAGAAAATTACATGGAAATCACAGTTTAGTTAAGACTCAAATTAGAATTTATCAATCTTTTTACATCAAGCTGGAGTCTTTATTTCGACTTAGGAAAGTAACTCAAAATACAAAAAACAAGGAGGGACAAGGGGGACAAAAAGTAAAATCGTTTCTCTTCGAAGCGACGGGGGTTAAATCGTGTTGGAGACGAAACGGGTGTACGATCGGAACGGTGCAATAAAACATTTTTCAAAACTGCATGAAACACGGGCGGCGAACACCGGGACGCGGAAAAATCGGACGGTGGGGAGCCGCATAAATGTTCCAACCGATGAATTATTGCCGCGAAATGGCCGTATCCAGTTTGTAAGCGGGGCGCGAAACGGGTGGGTCGCGCGACCATGTTGGACACATTGTTTACAAAGTATCTGACCACCGTCACGGTACGAATCCCCTCATTTTTCTGACGTGCGTAAAGTGCGTTTTGTCGTTGCGCCACAGTGCATTAAGCTACCGTACAACACAGAGGGATGGAGGGTTCGTGTGACACGGATGGTCGGTCGAAAAAGAGATACACGGATACCCGATTTAACCCCCGTGCTACGCCGACCTAACATTTATATTTTTGCGGTGCTCCTATTGCCGCTCGTTTGTCGCACGATCGCGCTTGCTGTTTCCAAAGAGGAAAGCTGAATGTAAAACCACTGGCTAGGCAACGATCCGCGTTTTAGACCGGCAGGATTTTCGTTTACGGCTATTGCTGTCTAGGATTAAGGGTATGGCTTTTGGATTTCATGGCTTTCGACCAGAAATGGTAAGGCTGTAAAAGGTTTTTTTTCAACGTTCGAGAAGATTGAGATTCTTTGCACAGCTTTTGGGATGTTGCTTATCGATCAATGTTCCATGTTTGTACAGTACTTTTATATTAATGTATATTATGTATACACAGCTATAATAAAAGTATAAAAATAAAATAGGAAACTTACGAACTCAAAACGAACCCCATTATTCCTAGCTAGTAAACCGATACAAAATTTCAAATGAAAATTCATCTCTGGTAGTTAACAAACGCAAAGAATTCAACAAAAAAATAAAAAAAAAATTCAAAAAATCAGTGTAATATGTACTTCCATGAAACATTCGACCGTAAATGCAAATATTACCTCGCGTTTTCTCGTTTTCAAATAATTTCATCGTCGCTGCATATTTTTTTTTTTTTTCAATTCGCAATACGTACATTCCTGTTAGCCAGAAATATCAAGTTACTTTTTTATATAGCGAGGTGTACCTCGATATTTGCTGTGGTTGTTTGACGGTTATCTGATGCGAGCGCAAATTACGGCTTCCCTACAGGTATCGAAGTGTATCGTAGGGTTCGGTTTCCACTTGATTAATTGGCTTGCACTTGCAACAATTTCAATCTCGATGGGGACTCATTTAATGTTTAACGAAACTCGACCCTTACCAGCGATCCTTCCTGAATATTAGCCATAAAAAAGTGAAGCTTTATAGTAGCCATTGCTCTTGCCTTTAAATAATAGCTTTATCAAACCAAAATTACTTTCTTCTAAAAAAAAATTCAACTAGTTATTTTAAAATTCCGCTTTTTTTTAATTAAATATTCATGAACCGCTGGCAATAATTGAAATTTACTTGGAACATTAATTTTATATTTAATATTTTATGTACTTTGAAATTAGCAACATACAACCATAGAATCTAAGTAACTAAAAAGGATACGAAGTGTTCGTGACATGAGTTATTGTTGCAAACTGGTGGCATTCGAATCACAAAAACACAAACATAAACCTCTGTATATGCAGTTATGGGGTTGTTGCATCGTAACAGGCTTTGTTTTGCAGCTTTTTCGTGCGCGGCACACCTGTGGACACCGATGCAACTTTTTGTAAAGACACACGAGCTCTCGTTTTACTTGAGCGACTATCTGTGATAGATGCACATACGAAACGAGATTTTTCATTCGGTTCTATAGAAATTCCAATACGAATGGTATCGAACTAATCACACTTTTAGTATCACCAACATATTTTAACAATCGAATCGTATCTCTTTTCAAGTAAAATTAATTTTTCAAAGTATATTTTATTTAAATGATCAATTATTTTGCATCGATAGTATACTTGAAAGATACGTAAATAATTGCTGTAAATCGATCGGAGAATTCTGTTCGGTATCACGCATTTCCTTTCCATTTATCTCCATCTTCTGAAATCGTCATCCCCTTCCTTGCTTTTCTCGCGAAGATCGCGTAATTGCAATACTTCCTCTTCCCTTTAACGGTCTGCAACCCCCCCGGCGATTTCAGTCATTACAGCCAACGAGGATCCCACTGTCTCCTCTATGTTTTTCTTCCATTCTACTCTTCGATTGTTTTACTCTTCTGTACTGTATCGTTGTTTATCCAAGACAGCCATTCAAATATTCGCTATTCGAAATTTAGCGAATAAAGAGGATATTGCATTCCATCGAAATTTTTATTTTACTTTAATGTTTGTTTAAGCTCAGTTGTATAACAATACGAATTTAG